GATGTCCTGACATTTTCCTTTAGAATTTGCTGGTATAATTCAGAATTCATTGTTCCATCAATGATGGCAAGCTGTCCTTGCCCAGATGCAGCAAAACAGGCCCAAACCATGATACAACCACCACCATGTTTCACAGATGGGATAAGGTTGTTATGCTTGAATGCAGTGTGTTCTTTTCTCCAAACATAACGCTGCTCATTTAAACCAAAAAGTTCTATTTTGGTCTCATCCGTCCACAAAACATTTCTCCAGTAGCCCTCTGGCTTGTCCACATGATCTTTAGCAAACTGCAGACGGGCAGCAATGTTCTTTTTGGACAGCAGTGACTTTCTCCTTGCAACTCTACCATGCACACCATGGTTGTTCAGTGTTCTCCTGATGGTGGACTCATGACAACTCTTGCTTTTGGAGTTATCTTTGTTGGTGAACCGCTTCTGAGGAGGGTAACAATGGTCTTGAATTTCCTCCATTTGTACATCTGTCTGACTGTGGATTTGTGGAGTCCAAACTCTTTAGAGATGGTTTTATAACCTTTTCTAACCTGATGAGCAACAGCAACTCTTTTTCTAAGGTCCTCAGAGATCTCCTTTGTTCGTGCCATGATTCACTTCCACAAACATGATCAGACTTTGATAGATCGCTGTTCTTTAAATAAAACAGGGCACACACTGACACCTGATAGTCATTTCACTGAATGAAAACACCTCTGAACAGATGGACTCTTAATTTCACCTTCAAATTAACTGCTGATCCTAGAGATTCACATACTTTTGCACCGCATAGATATGTAACACTGGATACTTTTTCTCAATAAATAAATGAAAAAGAATATTTTCGCCTCATTTGTTTGATTGGGTTATCTTTGTCTATTTGCAGGACTTGTGTGAAAATCTGATTATGTTTTGGGTCATATTTATGCAGAAATATAGAAAATTCTGTATATATATATATATTATTTTAATTCAGTTAAACTTTCTGTTATTTCAATGAACGAAAATGTTTTTTGTGATTTTAATTTGTTTTAACTATAATAGCCCTGGCTCAACCTGACTTACCAATAACCGTAGGGAAAAAGGCAAAATTAACAACTTGTATAATTAACAACTCATAATATTTCTACAGATAAAAATATGCTATTTCGATTACAGCCACTTTGCTTCAAATTAAATATGTGCCTACTATCATAAAAAAAATTATAAGTAAAACGTAAGTTACATTTTAAACGGTAATATTCTACTGTATATTGTCACATGACCTCATTAGGTTGCATGTTTCATTCAGCAAATGGCATCCAGTTAGCATCTTTCATAAGTTATTTTGTATTCTAAAATCACTTCTGTGTACAAAGACCTTTTCTCTTGACAGTCCAAATAAATAATGAGTTGAGAAAGAGATTAATCTTAAAAAATTGTGGCTGGTTGAAAAATTACACGTTCATTTATCACACTAGAAATGTAAGGTCAAGTGGAAGCAATGCACAGTATTCCTCACAGCATGTTCTGATTGTATACGGCACGTTTCAGCAAATGAAGTACTGTAGGTAATGTATCCCAGGCATATAGAAAATTAGCATATTGTCCACATGCTATATAATGCAGAAACGGTATGATTAGTATGCTTTTCCAAACATGGCCTGCAATATTGTCTCAAATGCCTCACTGCTGTGTCTCCTGTTGAATTGTGGGAGTCACGCCCGTGTGTTTATTCTGTGCTCTGTCTCAGAGTCGTGTGGACCAGAGTAAAGTGACTTTGGAGGCCCTCGAGAGGCAGTTAGAGGAAGAAAAACAGAAAGTCAAGAATAAAGAAGCTCTCAGCGGAGTGGCGACAGGTAAGACAGGCTTCTGTGTAGATGCAATCAAACATGCTGGTGAAGAAAGATAATGACTGTTTGCGTGGGTGTGTGTGAATCCTGCATGTGCACGCAGAAAGTGAGCTGCAGCTGCAGCTGGAATGCGCGCAGACGGAGGTGGAGTTCCTGCGCAGGCGTCTGCGGCAGACAGAGGAAAGACTTGAGAGTGAGAAAGAGGCCCGTCAGCTGCTGGATACTAAGGTATTAATATTAATTATTACATTAATTATGACCTTAAAGAGGCACCTTAGAGTGTTTGTCAAGGTTTCTTTTAGTTTTCAAACATGGTCTTAGTTTTTGTTGTTAAAGTTAACTACAACAGTTAAAAAATAGTTTTTGATCATTGAAATTAAGTTAAAATAAAAATATTAAATGAAAACTTGAACTTGAAAAAAAATGAAAATGAGAAATATTGCTTTGGGAACTAACATAAATAATTTAGTTAAAGAACTAAAATGACCGAACCTGAAATAAAAATAAAGCTAAATGAAAAATATTTAAAAAAAAATAATAATAATTATAAAAATGACAAAAGCACAACAAAATGACTAAAACTTAAATTAAAATGAAAACTGAAAATATAAAAATAAAAGCTAATTCAAATTATCAAAACGCCACTGCCGGCGGTTGACCTCTGACCTTCAGGACGCGCGCGTGCTGACTGACAGCCTGCAGGGCCGCACTCATGAGCTGGAGAGGAAACAGAGGAGGTCTGCCTCATTTGCATATGATTCATTAAGATTCAGCGTCACGCTATCTGGTTTCTTGAAAACGCATTCTCAAGCCCTCTGTCTGGTGTGTGTATGTATGTGTGTCTGTGTCTGTGTGTGTGTGTGTGTGTGTGTTTGTAGGTTTGACAGTGAACTGACCCAGGCACTTGAGCAGGCTGATCATGAGAGGGAGCAGAAGGAGAGATCCATCCAGGAGAATACCACCCTCGGCGCCGAGATATTCACCCTTCACAAGACGCTCAAGGTAAGGGCCGAGGTCAAAGGTCAAGTGTCCACCATCTGCGATCGTGCCAGTGAACTCCGGGTGTCCTCTGTCGGTAAACTGAACGAGTCCCCAGAGATCCCAAATATGCAGAGGAGAAAAGTTCTGCTTAAAGTTTATCAGATTATATAACTTTACAGTGTCATTATAGGAAAATGAATGAATGAGTTTTTACTCTGAAATACAAAGGTCAGAGGGAAATACCTGGGAAAATACATGGGAAATACATGTGCACACATTTATATCTGCATTATGCATTCGTGTATTTTAATACAATGTGTTTTTTATCTGTTCAGATGACTGTATGTGATTTTTGGTGTGTGTTTGTGATTGTAATTGTTTTGTTTTTTTTGTGCATTGTGTGTGTGTGTGTGTGTGTGTGTGTGTGTGCAGCTCCGTCAGCTGGAGATGCAACTGGAACAGGAATATGAGGAAAAACAGATGGTGGTTCATGAGAAGCATGACTTAGAGGGGCTGATTGCCACACTGTGTGAACAGGTAACACACATATATATAAATTGTAAAATTAAAAAAAATGTATATACATTACATAACATCATATATATGAAATTTATTTTTATTTTATTTAAAGGTAATAAAATTATATTTATTTTTTTATTGTTTTGTAAGAAAGCTTTTTGCATTTTAATAAAAAAAAAAAACAATATTTAGCTGATTTATATACCTTTTTTGACATCCTCAAAAGGATATTGTCATATTTTCATAAATAATGGAATCTTTTTTGCAGTGTTATTATCATAGATAGCAACATTTGCATTCACACACTGTAACCAACCTTTGTAACGTTCATTGCATTCCAGGCTTGATATTTATTAAATACAGTATGTGGGTCATTTGGATAGACGCGCTACTTGATAGATCACAGAGTTTTAGTCACATCAGGGCTCATGAGGATCTGTAAAGCTGTCGTGTTCCTGATATAAGAGCACTACAGACTGCCCAGCTCTGAGTCTACACATCTCTTCCCTCAACTGTCAGTGTCCTTCATTACAGTTTGTTTGTGGAAATATGAAAGCTCAGCAAACATTCTCAACTTAATTTGTATTATCAGCTTAACGTCAGCATGAAATGGCATTAGTAACCCATTTTACTTCTGTGATGTGAAATATTTTGGAAAAAGATCTGTAGGGCAGGGCTTGGTTTTATCCTTCAGCAATTGACTGGATGCTAAAAAGTGGGACAGAGTTGAAAACTTGTGATTGGTGACATCAGCCCAAAAGCAAAGTCATTTTAGAGGTGGAGCAAGCATACAGTGGGTACGGAAAGTATTCAGACCCCCTTCAATTTTTCACTCTTTGTTATATTGCAGCCATTTGCTAAAATAATTTAAGTTAATTTTTTTTCCTCATTAATGTACACACAGCACCCCATATTGACAGAAAAACACAGAATCGTTGACATTTTTGCAGATTTATTAAAAAAGAAAAACTGAAATATCACATGGTCCTAAGTATTCAGACCCTTTGCTCAGTATTTAGTAGAAGCACCCTTTTGATCTAATACAGCCATGAGTCTTTTTGGGAAAGATGCAACAAGTTTTTCACACCTGGATTTGGGGATCCTCTGCCATTCCTCCTTGCAGATCCTCTCCAGTTCTGTCAGGTTGGATGGTAAACGTTGGTGGACAGCCATTTTTAGGTATCTCCAGAGATGCTCAATTGGGTTTAAGGCAGGGCTCTGGCTGGGCCATTCAAGAACA